TGTGCAGGAGGCAGCTGATCGATGTTTCTCTCTCATCGATGTTTCTAACTCTCTATCCCTCTCCCTTCCTCTCTGTAAAAAATCAATAAAATATATTTAAAAAAAAAGAAATGTTTGATAAAATGGGAGCTATAATTATTCTATTTAGATACTAGATGACCCCTTTAACTGGTATTCTACTATTAGGAATCCAACGTACTTTGGAGGAGCCTATCCTGAAATTAATTGAAAGGAAAGCTAAATGGTTAAGGGATGGGGTGGGCCCTTGATCAACACTGAAACTCCAACTTCCTAAAGAGCTTGAACCTCCTTTACTGTGACCACAATGAAAACACTTAGTTCTTCACACAGTCCTTCTTCTTTCTAAGCTCTGCTGGGAGGACGGACATCAGCAGGCCAGTTCTAGGATATAGCCTTCTTGACTCTCATCCCATTCCTCTTTCCCAAACCAATTCAGAAAGCCCTCGGCTGATGGGCCTTTCTTGAAAGAAGTATTTGGAATGCAGAGGATCACTTATAGTCTGCACTCGGAATAGACCTGAGCCATTAGCAGACCTGCTGTGCAGCCCAGTACAAGTTATTTGCTCATCAACAACCAGACACCTGGACTGGACATGACCCCTCACCGTGGCTTCGCAGCCTTCTCCTCCAAAGCCACTGCTGCAGGAGAGACACCTGTGTCCGTCCTCACTGACCTCGCAGTAGGTCTGAACGTGTTGCTTTGCAGGAAATATATGAGCCACCTGGAGCCCCCGAATGTCCCATAATCTGAAAGAAATTACAGCAAAAAAATGAGTTTATAGTAAATGTGTCTGAAATATACCATAATCACCTGCAATCATAAGTCTTGGCTCTTTGCTGCTTCGGCCAGTCAGAATGGAGTCATAATATACCTAAAAATAGCAGCTTGAACCAGATCAATCTTGGAGACTCCAAGCTGGCAGGAAATAACGAAATGACATCTGAGTTCTTTCTATTTTGAGATCTAGTTAATAGAAATTTAGACCAAGCAACTTAATTATATAAGCTAATTTGGTCTTTTGGGGTGCTGCCTTCAATGGAAAGAAGATATTTCTGTGCCTGTGATTTTTAATTTTTAAAAATATTTTTTTATTGATTTCAGAGAGAAAGGGAGAGGGAGGAAGAGATAGACACATCAATGATGAGAGAGAATCACTGATCGGCTGCCTCCCGCACGCCCCACACTGGGGATTGAGCCTGCAACTTGGGTATGTGCCCTGACCGGGAATCGAACCATGACCTCCTGGTTCATAGGTCGACACTCAATCACTGAGCCACACCGGCTGGGCTATAATTTTTTTAAAAAGATACTTATGATAGTACAGAGGAGCAATCATCCTTCCAGATTCATAAACAAAAGATTTACAGACTTGGTCAACCTTGGCTATGGGGTTCACTGGGGAGTACTTTATTTACCTCTTGTCTCATTCCTACCATTTTCTAAGTAGAATCTCTTCTGATAGCCACAGTTTCTAGTCACGCTCTCTAGTCTAAGAACAGTTGACTTCATTTGATTCCCCTGATGGCGATTCCCCTGCTTTCTCAGAGAGGGCTTTGCCTGAGGGCTGGGTGACTGGGAATGTGAGGACCTGAGCAGGGCCAGCAAATAAAGCCAGGCCGTTCGAAGGGGTGGGAGGAGCAAGTGACTGATCCTGAGGTTAATCTGACTGTTCACACAGCTACACAGCCAGGGCGGGTGGAATCAGCTGCTTTGGGTTTTTCCTGGCCTGGCTAGCATTCAGCCTCTACACAGAGGATTCCATGGGGCCAGATCAGAGAGGCCCCAGGACCAGTGAGGGGCAAAGGGGCAGAATGCCCTCGCAAGGGCACAGCAATGCAGAGAAGCAGAGTGGGAATGGAGTCGTGTAAGCGTGGGAGCCACAAATCTTCACCAGAAACACTGTCACTGGTGCTCAGTGAGCCCACCTGATGGTTTTATCTTCAGAAGCCTGTAGTACATATGGTTCTCTGGGGACCCAACACAGGTGAGTGACCTGGAAGAAGCACAATTTTCAAAATGTCTCCAGACCAAGTCATTCCTCTGCTGGAATTCCTGTAAACAGTGCTAAATAGCATCTCTGTACCACTTCTCAAGGACGCTGAACGAGGGAATTTGACTTGGAGGAAGGGGTTTCATGTTTTGCAGACACCCACCAGTCATGCTCTCCTTGCATCTCCTTGGCTATCAGCATCAACAGTAGCAGCTGGGCCAGTTGTGAGTACCCCAATGCATGCAGGCGCTCTTAGAATGCCTGAACCCAAACGCCTGGTAAAGAACTGCTGGTCTGTGGCAGCCAGGGGAGCAGTCCCCGCTGTAAAGCGGGGCCACTGAAACCACAGTGTAGGCCACAGAGGGTTGAGGAAGGGCTCTTCTTGCACTTTATCTCTGCAGCCCTCCGGTGGGCAGGCATGAAAGACTTTTCAAAACAACCCAAGGTAACAGGATTTTCTTTTTCCCCAGGAACCTCCACAAATACACAAGGCATAGGGCAAGCACATCTTGCCATTGACAGTTGTCTTCAAAATTGGAAAAGATAACTATGATTGACATTTGATGACCACTAAAGGAACAGCTACCATGTCGGGTGATATAATTCTCCCCATTTTATAAATGAAGACACTGAGACTCTAAGTAAGTTTCTTAGGGTAACACAGCTAAAAAGTGGTGGATTGATGGTTTGAACTCAGGTATGACTGACCCCCAAGGCTGTGGAGTTTATATACTAGTCTGCTACCAGAAAACGCTGGTCTTCATAAACAGAGCAAATTATACAGAAAGCAACGTCATTCTTATTTCTCTGCATAATGTTATAGATACAGAACACAGAGCATGACTGTGAGCTCCTGGAGGACAAAGACATGTCCTTAGTCACTAACCCTGCTCTAAGCTCAGTGTCTGGCCCACAGAAGAAATAAACTAACTGTGTTTTGAAGGAGTAAGTGAGGACACCATTTAAGATTCCAATATAAACTAGTGGAATTGTTTTCTGGAGCAAAAGACCTTAAGAAATCATCTAATCCGATAACCCTGAGAGGCTGGGGTTTGACAGAGAGGTAGGGGTGGGGAGCAAAGAGGACCAAGCCTCTAACGCCTGGTCGTGGGTCTCCTGATCTCTCGCCCAGGCCCTTCCCCTCCCCCCATCCTCCCTTCTGCTGCCCTGCTGCATAGCAGGTTAGAGTTCGTACCAGGTTCCTGGAGACCGAAGCTCTCTCCACACACTGTCCGGTCCCCACATCCCACAGGACTAGGGTGTTGTCCCGAGAGCCAGTGCACAGCTGTGTTGAGTCTTTGGAAACAATGGCAAGAAGATGGTTCATGAGACAGACTTGGAACAGGCTTTTCAGAAAGTACAAAGGCACTGGGAAGGGCTCTGCTTTGCTTACCAGGACTCACAGCTAACCCAGTGACCACCATGGCATGGCCCGAGAACTGCTGCCTGGGTTGTGAGGAGCCGTGCAAGTCCCACATCATGACCATCCTGTCCCGAGAGGCGCTGAAGAACTGGTTTGATTTGTGAAGACAGGCTATCTGCTCGAGAAAGAAAGCTTTGGTGTGCTTGTTTGATTGGATTTTAATACGTTAAGCGCCCAGCCTGTTTTGTCTTCAGGACGGAAAGTATAGTGACAGTCACTGGTGACTGACAGGGCGCTTAACGTGTTAAAGTAGAAAAAGACCTGGGGATAAGAAGGTTACAGCCTGATCTTCTCTCTCAGTCTGGTTCATAATGCACTGTATCTGACAGGAAAATACCCTGTTCCGTGCTATGGGATTGTGGCTGATGCTGAGTTTCATTATGACAGTGAGCATCCCAATTTTGGCCCATTCAGGTGAACTTCAGAGAGGGGAGTTATATAAGTTGGTATTCTCTGCCATTTTTGCTGGAAACGTACTCTACTCTGTAAAGCTATTAAACAAATTAATTTTTATTTAACTATTGTTGGCTTTTTAAAAATTTCTCCAACTAAGTCTAGAGATTATGTCATTTTTCTAACTATAGCAAACACACAGGAAGCCTTCAATGCATATCCCTGTTGAGTGAGGATCAGCCAGGGAGAGCCACTCTCTTTTTACCACCTGAGCTATTAAGGGCTTAATAACAAAAGAAAAATTATGTCAAATATGCTTGTACCAATAGCTAAGTGAATGGTTTGCTCTGCTTTTCCTGGAGGAGGACTTCACAGCACCAGATACAAAGCCCTTGCATGTTCCTTTAAGAATATGCAATCACTCTTACCATCTAGAGCAGCGGTTCTCAACCTATGGGTCGCGACCCCTTTGGGGGTCGAACAACCCTTTCTTTCACAGGGATCGCCTAAGACCATCGGAAAACACATATATAATTACATATTGTTTTTGTGATTAATCACTATGCTTTAATTCTGTTCAATTTGTAACAATGAAAATACATCCTGCATATCAGATATTTACATTACAATTCTTAACAGTAGCAAAATTACAGTTATGAAGTAGCAATGAAAATAATTTTATGGTTGGGGGTCACAACATGAGGAACTGTATTAAAGGTTTGCACCATTAGGAAGGTTGAGAACCACTGATCTAGAGCGATTAGGTGTTCCTTTATTCAGTTCCAAATTCCCTCCATGATAATAACCACTTGACGATTTTACCTTGGTGATGTCATGTTCATGTCCTCTGAACCTTTTCACCACGTTTCCGGTTTTCCAGTTATAGGCCACAACTGTCTGCAGAGAGTCATTCGCACCGTTTAGTTTAACTGAATGTGTGTTTAACTGAAACAACAAGCCTTTATTTCATCCTCTACCTGACTTCTTCCTCTCTGTCCAGGGACTTGCATCGAGCATTAGGGTTCTATTGTGTCCCTCCTCAGGGCCCCTACTGAGTTTCTATCTTTCCTCCTGATCTGTCCTGTCTCTCCCCAGCTCCTGGGCCACCCCTCTGAGCCTTACTGATGGGTTTGGGATAACACTCCCTAAGGGAAATGGATTCAGATTGAGGTTCTGGTTGAAGATACTGAAGGAGAATTCTACATAGGATTAGATTTTCCCCCCTAACTGTACTGTATTTTTATTTTAGTTTTTTAAATTTATCATCTTCTTAATGATTTGTAGGTGTACAGTTCACTAGTGTTAAGTATATTCCCATTTATTGCAAAACAGACTGAACTTTTTTAAATTTCAGAAAACCTCATTCGTATCCTGCCTGCCAGAGAGAATCATTGTTAACAATCTCTTTCCATCTTTTTTCCAGGTATATAGTATTTTGTTGTAAGCATTCCCCCCCTCAAAAAAAAAAAAAAGGTTTTCAAAAGCATCCTCTGGCCCAGTCTCTGTAGTTCATTGCTAGAGAGTAAAGAGCATGTTAGCACTTGACCTAAACCTCAGTTTTGTAATCTGCAACATGGAGATGTTAAACCTTGCCCATCTATTCCTCACAGGTGAGGCTCATATCAATAAAAATTTCACGTCTAAGATAATATAGATATTAAGACAAATGCTGTCAATTAAATTATGCTATCAATTTTCAAATGCATACTGATTTCAGAGATGTTAAAATGTGAAAGCGTGTGGATCTGAAAGTCAGTGAAATACAGTGTGAAAATGGAATTTGAAGATTCTAAAAGGCTATTGAAAATGAGAGGCATTTACCATAAAAGAATCCACATTTTTGCTACCAATATCCTGGCTGTAAGTGCTATGAGAGATCCACATCTGAGGGAGAGAAAGCAACCAGATTCAAAGTGACAGTGGGAGGAAGCACAAAACCAGAGAAGGGAGGAATCACAACACACACCAATGTAGAGATTTTGGCAAAAGAGCAGTTAAGAGACTAGAAGGCTCCTTTTGCTGACAAATAACTCCGGTGTCTGTGTGTAGGTGTAAAAATGGATTGGTTGGAATAATAATATCTGTCATTTATAAAAAGCACATGGGAGGCATAGTGCTAAAGATCTTACCATTTATTCCTCACAACGGTGCTGTGAGGTTGGCATTATTATTCCCATTTAATAGATAATAGACTAAAGCTCAAGAAAATTAAAAGACTTGCTCAAAGTAAGAGGAAGTGGCAGAGAAGGGATTTAAACCCAGTCTTTCTAATTCTAAAACCGTATTTTACACTACCCAACACTGCTCCCAGAAATGAAAAAACCAGTGTTTGCTTCCCAAACATCTTCCCTTCTCTGCGATGAGTTGGTTCCCTGGGAAGCACTGAAAATCCCACCTTATCTTTTCCTCCGGAGACACAGAGGTCTGAGTTCAGAGCAGCAACAACAGAGACGGTGTCCACGTGAGCTGGGCTATACTCATGAAAAGCTGTAGTTTGAATTCTCTCTTCTATAATTGCATCGGGCCTGCTAAAGAGAGGATGGAGAATGAGAGGCCCAATGGCATGCGAGTGCACAGTGGAGCAAGGGGAAGAAGAGTGTGAGCGAAAGCAGCAATTCAGGCCAGACGGAGGAGAAAGGTGGGAAAGGAGACCCACCGACATTGCCAGTTCGCAGATGCTCAGAGTGACTGAATCTGACAAAGGGGAATCCTGAAGTCAAGAAGCCAGGGGTCTTTCTCACTCTAGAGCAGTGGTTCTCAACCTTCTGGCCCTTTAAATACAGTTCCTCATGTTGTGACCCAACCATAAAATTATTTTCGTTGCTACGTCATAACTGTAATGTTGCTACTGTTATGAATCGTAATGTAAATATCTGATATGCAGGATGGTCTTAGGCGACCCCTGTGAAAGGGTCGTTTGACCGCCAAAGGGGTCGCGACCCACAGGTTGAGAACCACTGCTCTAGAGATTATTCCAAAGATGTAGGGCCCCTCTCTGTGTGGCCGTAGACACTAGCTACCAAGCTAGACTGTTTCTTATCCAAAAGAAAACCGAGCAAACGGACAGGTCAGAGAAGGTCATCAATACTTGCTCTGGGCCTTCTCTTTCTTCAGTGGAGAACTGTAATGGGCATGATAAAACCTGGGACCCCGGGTAGGGCTGCTGTACCTGTATTTATAAGTGCTGTGTTTGAGTTTGCTTTGCAGTTTCCCCATCATGGCACAGAACCTACACAAAATCTTCTGAGGAGGAGCTTGTTTCAGATGGCACCTGAGGGGCAGCATCCCTTGTGGCTGCTGGACGTTGTGTTCCCTGTTCAGTAAAAAGAACAATACACAGTTAATTTTGTTAGGCACAGTGATGGTAGCATGGTATAGGGCAGGGGTCCTCAAACTATGGCCCGCGGGCCACATGCAAATACAAATATTGTATTTGTTCCCGTTTTGTTTTTTACTTCAAAATAAGATATGTGCAGTGTGCATAGGAATTTGTTCATAGTTTTTTTTAAAACTATAGTCTGGCCCTCCAACGGTCTGAGGGACAGTGAACTGGCCCCGTTTAAAAAGTTTGAGGACCCCTGGTATAGGGATTCAGAGCGAGCACCCCAAGGTGTGCTTCTGTGGTATGCGGATTGTTTTGAGCTAAAGGCAATTTTAGCATCGGGCGCAAGGAAAACTTCTATATGGCTCCCCTTAACTACCTAGAACTTGAATTAGAGGCCTTGCCATGATAAGGTATTATCAGCAATAACCTTTTTGACCCACCTATATGTCAGGCAAACTTTGATTTACTAAACATCTGCTCTTCATATCATCTTTCAATGACCCTGTGAAGTCCCCACGGTGTACTACCTCACCCCTAGCTCAGGATGTCTTATACCTCTGACCCCCTCTATCTCTGAACCTCTGGTGCATGTGGAGTCTCTGACTCTCTCATGTATGTGGGGTTCCCATACATATGTATTAAATTTGGTTATTTTCTCTTTCTAATATGCATGATGTCTTTTGATTATGAGACCAGCCAAAGAACCTTGAGAGTAGAGGGAAATTTGTTCCTCCCCCATAATGGTCATGTAAAGACATATCCTTTTTTTTTTTTTTAAAGGACTAATTAATTGTTTGCTTCTGCTTTTCCGCCTTTCCCTGCCTCACTCTTATGGCCCTGGGAACACACCCTACAATAAAGCACTAGCAGATAAAAACCAAACAAAACTAATACAAAAGCTCTTTGAAGTCCCCGATAATTTTTAAGAGTGAAAGGGAGTCCTGAGGCCAAAAAGTTTGAGAGCCACTGACCTAGAACTTAATTAATGCCAATAATGGATGATATACTATATTAGAATAAAAAATTACTAAATGTTTTCCAGATGTACTTGTATTGTCCCCAGTAACTAACAAGGCTAGATTTAAAGAGAGAGACAGATGCTCATCCATACACTCATTCAGGAAATACCTCTTAAGCACCTAATTTATGCAGATCCTATACTGGAGAACGAAGAGAAAGAAAGCAGATGTGGCCACTGTGGACATGGGCTGGGACTAAAGGTATGTGACTAGGGGCTAATCTCAGCTGCTCTGTTGTCCTCTGCAGCTAGCTGCTCCCTGAGACACTGAAGGGTAAAGGAAGTAATTGGGCAGGTGTCCTCCTCTCTTCTGGGTTTCTGCTAAAAGAAGTTCTAGGTGAGTTTCTTATAGGCACAATAAGCCTGTTCTAGGAAGAAGAGTGTACAAGGAGACAGAAGCTAAAACTCACCAAGTATTCTCAATCATCTCATTACCATTAACAAATAGAGTTTTCCAGAAGAATTTAAGCCAACATTTTGAGAAGCTGCCAGAATTAACCTCCTGAAAAGAGTTGGTAACCAGTATAGAAGCACAACACAGTGCAGAGAACAGTGTTTGTGGCATCAAGAGCCCTGAGCTCCGGCCCCAGCTCTACCTCATCTCACTGTGTGTCTTTGGCTGAGTTCCTCCATTCCCCACTCTACGCCTCAGCCTCCCCATCTATAAAATGTGACTTCAGATTAAACGCTTTTTAGAAGACTATCTGCTCCCTAAGAGGAAGGACTCTGTCATATTCATCTTTGTAACTTAAGTGGCTTGCTCAGTGTGATAAAACATTTGTGAACTAGCGAATCTAAGGTCCCTTCCAGTTCAGACCTTCTAGAGTTCTCTCTAATAAGCACAAGATGTGCTGACAGGAAAAATTCCAGGATAGCTTGCAAAAAGCTTGGGATGTTGTGTCGCTTGTAGATTGGTAGAGGTTGCAGGGCATCCTAACTGCCAGCCTAACCCATTTTTCAACATTGTCATCAAACTAAGGACAGATGCCATTCAGAGATCTAGGTCACTGGAAACTGCAGGTGCTATAAATGGACTGGCTCTGCTTAAACTGATTAGATTCATAGCTGGTATCTTCTTATACTCCCCACCCGAAGAATATTCATGGAACATTCTAAGGAAAAAAATAACTTTTACATTACCCCAATTCAATAGGATCTTCTTGTGAACTTCGGTATTCAATGCTTTGTAATGTTTATTCTTTGGAAAATACTTCAGGCAGCCACTTCCTAATCTCTGTAAGTAGTGAAAAGATGCTTAATCTCTTCTCCATCTAAGCATATGTTTGTACCGAAAGGATATTTACAAGGTAAATTAAGGACTTTAACTAAAGAGATTGTTAAGTGTAGTTTTCCCTCACAAAGAAAAAGATATTACAAAATTCCAATATTTGGGGGGAAAGCATACCATAATATTAATAATATATCTGTTTAAATATGCAAAATAGCATCTACTGAAATGCACCATTAAACATTTTTATTTTACTCATAGTTCATCAAAAATCTTCAGAGGTGACTGCTTACTTCAGAGCTTAGTGTTTTTGTGAGAAAGGCAATTTCTCCTGTTTAAAATAATACTTTAATAAGTATGGGTCATAGACGTTTAGAGGAAAGAGCTTTTCAAAATCACATAAAACCCTTTATTTAAAGATCTGGAGATTTATTTACTCAAAATTATAACTAGGTATAATTGACTTCTAGTCCAGTGGCCATGTTAGTAGCTATCATTTACTCTAGTCCAGAAATTCCAGTCCAGAATTTCCATTATAAAAATCTACAAAGAAGAAGCCAGTTTTATTGCATTTTAACAACTCCATTCTAAGATTTCAAATAAATAAATTCAAATGATCAATTGACAGTGTCACTTATCCTAATAATTAAGAGCAGCACAGAATAGTCAGAACAACATTTGACTGAGTGCACTGGCATCATTTTAGGACTAGGTCTGGGCAACTTGTTGAACTGAAGTCTCAGTTTCCTATGTGTAAAATGGGATAACTCTACAATTGGGCTTTTGTGAAGATTAAAACTAGCACTCAGGATGTGCCAAGGACTATTTTAAGTGCTTATACTTACTAGCTCATTTGTCTATTCCACAAGCCTCTGGAATAGTTACCTTCCTCATTTTGCAGATGAGAAAAGTGAAGCACAAGGATGTTAAATAACTTGCCCAAGTTTACAAATAAATTGCAAATAAGTAGCAGAGCTGAAATTTGAATCTGGCAGTCTTGCTCCAGAGGCCTTGCTCTTGACCAGCATACTCTACTGCATCTCTACAAAAGGTAGTGCATATAAAGTCCTCAGTTCAACCAGGCAAATGGTTGAGAGTAAATGATGGCTACTAACATGATTGATAGCATTACTGAAAGTAGCAATTTCACCCTTATTACTACTGCCCTTAATACACATATATTAAACATACATAAATATACTCAGAGAAGATACAAATGGATATATGAGCCTGGAGGATTTTAAACTGAAGCCAACTTTGTTCTCTGACCAGAGTGATTGATCACACTAAGGCTAAGAATTTACTGCATGATATACCAAGGCAACTTAAAAATCTCAAAAACAAAGTATATGTACTTAGACAATGTCCATGTTGTAATTTACTGAGTTGACTAACCTAAGAAATTAAAATACTATTCAGTTATCTTCCTGTTTATACTGTGAACATGTAATATACTTGAGAGAAGGGACGGTGCCTTGTTCATTTTTGTATCTGTGCTTTAAGCATAGCATGGAAGAATGGATGCAAGGCAACTATCTGTTGAATAAATGGATGAATGAATGAATGAATGAATGAAATACTAAGGTGAAGAGTCTGTTTGGCAAGAAGCTTTTTAAGGATCCAACAATCTAAGGGTTCTTTAAAATTGCCCAACAGCAAATCCTTCAGGAAGCAGTTACTCTGCTTAATTCAATTGCAGGCCCGGAAAGGCAGAACTTGGGAAAGTCATAAACTCAACATGGCTCTGGATGTCCTTGTTGGCTCCTGACGGGCTAAATCTGAATCCCAGCATCCATTTCTGCTCCAATTTGCCTTCCAAAGACCCTGAGATACCCAATGGTCACCCTAAACATAACTCAGAGAACCCTCTTTTAGCTTTCTAGAGCCATATTCCTTGATATACTGCAGCATATATCCAACTATTGTTTTCCATGAAGAAACTGGGACACAGAGGACTGTGTCTTGCAGGAGCAGAGCTGGGGAACAGGACCTCATTTCCCTAGACTCTTGGTCCACTGTTTACATAAATGGTGATTTCGTATCTCCCGATGTACACATCTAACCTTACACTCCGGGAGACCAAGACATGGAAACCAAAGCTCAAACACAAAATCAAGGTAGAAGCATGTGGGAGGTGGTCTGATTCAACCCTCTAATAGTACAAATAGAGGAAACCGAGGCCCAGAGAGTAAGAGGGTCTTACCCAGACTCACACAAGAAGTCAGCACTAGGCCAGAATCCCAAGGTTGCCTCAAGCTTTAAGGACACTGTGTGCAGTTTTTCTTTTCTGGCTCTTCAGTTCACAAAGGCCCTCATCCAATCTATGCGGACGGCCAAAGCTTATTTTTGATGTGTGCTTATTGGGGAAAGGGGCCTGGGGACGCCCAAGATGGGAATCCAGCGCCACCCAACCCAAGCCCGGCCCTCGGAATTCTCTCCTCGCTATGGCCAGGTGGGCCTCTGCAGTCGGGAAAACACGAGGGCTCCCACTTTCCCGCTGAGCCCCTTCCTATCCCGTCCGCGCCCCCTCGGCCTCCATACCCATCGGCCGGCTGCCCAGCAGGGAGGTGAGGCTGGCG